AATTTCTTCTGCAAAAATCTTTAGTTGGTTACTTTTAAATTCGGCCTCACTCAAACTTTCAGGGCATGGGCAGGATGTAGTCATACTCTTTGCCAAAATATAGCATCAATAATCTCTAGTTCAGTTCCTAACAGAGTCATCACACCCCTCTGAAACCTCATGAGCAAGTTCTTGCTAACTGTGTTTCTATTGGTGTTCCAGTCCTTCAAGTTGTTACCAGAAGAACCTGTTTAAGCTCTGTTGACTACGTTCTTGAACCTTTGCAACCTATAGTTCCAAACTTGTACATTCTTCCTGCAAACCAATTCAGAAAACCTATGACCCACATGGCCACCTTTATCACAGCAATGACCCCACTGATTACTATAAATTTTCTGCCTTAGTTGTTTTTCTTATGTACTTGACCAAATACCTAATCAGAAATTACAGTAAGAAGAGTTTATTTGACTCAGGTGTGAAGTGATGTAGTTCATCATGGTGGGGAAGGCATGGGAGTGGGTAGCTTCATGGAGGATGAGCAGGCAGCTGGGGCTTTAGTCCATCACAGTGGAGAAGGAATAGTGGAAGCTGAGCATACAGCTGGAACTCTCCTCCTCACATCTTGGAAGAACAGAAAGCAGAACTGTCTCGGTAATTTTCAAATTGTGGCTAATCATTGTCACCTTATCTGGATTTAGAATCAAGAGACACACTTCTGGATGTGTCTATGACAACATTTTCAGAGAGGATTAATTGAGGAGGGAAGACTCACCCTAAAGTAGGTGATACTCCTCTACAGGATGGGGATCTAGTCTGAAAAAGAGGTAAAAGGAGAAAGCCAGATGAACACCCACCTGTTTTCGTTACTCCCTGTTTCCTGATCTATCCAGATATGATCAAACAGCCTCATGTTCTGACAGCTCTGCTTTCTCCACCCTAATGGACTGTGACCTCTCAGACTGTAAGACAAAATTAATCCTTAGTTGCTTTCTTCCAACTATTTCACCACAGAAAAGGAGAAAAGTAACTAACGTAAAAATATATAATGCATTGTCCTTAATGACAACCATCATGTTGTTTAATAAACTTTTAAAATGTATTCTTTCTGTCAAATGCTTGGTATCATTTGATTGTTATATGCTTAATACCCCTCTTAACTACTAATCCCTAGTAAGTACCATTCTGTTTGCTGCCTTGTGTTGCCTTTTTATATTCTACATATAAGTGAGATCATGTGTTTTCTGTTTTTTTTATGCCTGATTTATTTCCCTTAGGTAATGTCTGTTTGTTACAATGTACATATTCTTATATTACATATGGCACTGCAG